GCAAGTCGGAGATTTGATTATGTTTGACAAACCTCTTTTGCGTTTATTCCTTTCAAAACTTTTTCCTTAATTACGGTGATGTGAAAGTGCGGTAGTGATTTTTAGGTCGTACCAACCCCTGGAGTGATTTACACAGGGTCAACTGGTCATCTAATAAAAAAAAAATATATTTTAAAAAATCTGTGACAGTACATCTAATGTGGAGGATAATGACGTAAACCTCATGGTTTTATCTCAATCCGTTCAAAAGTTACGATTTTTTAAAGTTATTTGAAAAAAACACTTTTCTTTACATAAAACAGGACTTTTCTCCACCTCAACGTAACTTTTCCGAACTTTTGACCTTATTTTTAGATTTAGCAGCTAATTTCCTTTTAGATTAGTCCATTTTTGTTATAAAAATGGCCAGTCTATTTACAAAACAACTGCAGAAACTTCATGAAATTGGCGAAATGTTAATATCGGTCCAACTTCTTTAAACCGTACCTCACATTACATTTTTTTAAATATCAAACCAGGTAAAAACTTCAACATTTTATAAACTTTCCAACGGTTTATTCGAAAACTGGATTATTTTGATTTTTTGACGGACAATTTCAGTTGGAAGTTGGGAAAAGACGGTCCGGTGTAAAAGTAGCACTTTATCTAAGCTAACCTAGTTAAGTTTTGTTAAATGGGACCCAAAGCTCCAGAATAAAATTTAATTTCTTCTTAAGTATTATTCGGCTTTGTTGGCTTCTAAATTTTTCTGTTCTGAAACAATTTTGAATTTCAAATTGGCAGGTTTTGTGTTTTTAATGCGAGTTATGTAGGACTGAAAAAGAAGTTCTAGACCTAGAATGATTTCTTCCGGTCAAGTTTATCCGGGTTTTCCAATATGGAGACTTGACGCCATAACGATTCAGCACTTTTTGACGACTTCGACTACCGGCAGGAAGCTGAGGGACTTCGTACTTCCTTCTGCGCCGCCGTGTATGACCGTTTCAATGATAAAAAATCAATTTTAAATTTTATATTAAAAGACAAAGCGGATTGGTGATTAAAAAGCCAACACAACTAAAAACTATGAACAAGGAAGTTATTTATGCAATGGAAAAAAAATAAATATTTGTTTTCCTTTCACTCACAGAGGTCAGGTACATTTGCATGATATCCCGTGGCACATTTTCGCTCAAAACTCGTATACAGTAAAATTTTTATTAAAAATGTCCAAGACGAAACGTTTTGTAGTTTTTGCACAATGTCTCCCCCACGACCGGTTGCGAATTCGAGCAGTTTCAGATTGCGCTTTTAGAAATGCGAAAGTTGCCTTAGCCAGTCCTGGAGTCGGTTTCGGCATTGGCCGGTGGATCAGGGAGCCGTTCCAGTTTCTTCGGATGGTCCGGAGGTTTTTTCCTGAAGGGTGACGTCACCTTTTTTCTCATCTGGATCGGGCCATCTGAGTCATCTGGGTGCAGGTCCAAGACACCATCGCACATTTTTCTCGATCCTTTCAGATCGCAACAAGACGGAAAATCTGGAGGCATCAATCTTTTTACAAAGGAAATTCCTACGATCAGAGTATTCTTTTTAAAAAGTTACGTCCTTTATCGACGTAAAAATTAATAACGCTTTGGCGGAGAGGAAGGTTGGCCGAAAGTTCCGTAAAACTATTGCAATAAACTTGAACTCGTCCAATTATTTTTACCGTACTTGGTTCAGGTCTAAATCATTTTCAGATAAAGAGCCATTACAGACAAATAAGTGCGTATGGTTTTTTTTTCTCGTGGTCACAACTCTGACACTATGCCAATACTGCGCCCGTAACCCTGACAGTCAATATGAGAGATTAAAGATCAAGAAGGTCTCTAAATGGGAAAGTGCTGAATGAGCTTTGGCTCTATGGTAGAATAGTTCGAAACCATGGAACTTTTTGAAGCAGAATTGTATCAGTACATTGATAAACGGTTCAGGTTTCTATGAAGGAGTTTAATAATAACATAGCAAAAGCTTTGACAGTTTCTATGAGTACTTTTAGTTAGGATTTCGGCGAAGATTTGATTGCTTAGAATCGTACAGTTCCACCCCATATGCCCAAAATGGATAAAAGAGTTTTCGTAGTTATAAGTTTTTCTCTTGTCTTTTGTGGGGATTCCTTGCCAGTCAGCTGTTGAGGGATAATCCTAACTATACGACATCTTCTAAACTTCCAACTTTTCTTTTTCCTTTCGTTCAATCTAATGTGGGACAACTGGCAGATTCGATTGTCAAATCTGGTCGAGACAGTATTTTGTTTTTGATTTGTGTAGTTCCTTATTTTCCACTTCTAATTACTCAAAGTACAGTCCTACCTTCGATTCATCACCTACGTACGTCACATACTGCAAGGATCTGTTCTCGTTCTATTCGGATCAGTAACAACTACTTCTTGCTACTTTTTGTAGAGCTAAATTAAACAGAATTGGTGTCAAAATGTCGCCTTGCCCGAGGCCTGTAATAATATCGTCTCTTCCAAATATTCGCCCTGAACCTTAACATTAGCGGCTGAATGTCGAAGGCGTATCTTTACCAAGTTGATGATATGTATGATGAATGCATTTTTCCTCATTTCGTCGTCCACTTTTTGCACTAGTTTGATAAGCTCAAGGTGTTCTTGGATGTTGATATTATTCACGTTTATAGACAGAACGCGGTATCATCCACGTATTAATGATTGTGTTGGAATGTGTACATATGGTAAATAAGACAGGATCAAAAACGTTCCCTTGTGGGACGCCGCATTATACTATATCTCTTTGCCATTCTGGAGTAGGGGCCAGTTAAATAGGATTCTAGGATAAAGGAAAAAAGAATGGGGCTTGTACCACACCCTGACAAAAGCCTGGGCCACTTCCAGGAACGCACCCATTGTTCTCTAAAAGGTGTCATCTAATCTGATATATTATTGATGGGAAAACTGTACTTCTTTTAATTTTTTTAAATTTATAAATCTATAGCTGTATGTGTGCCTCATTTTTTTATACATATTGTTTACTGTCTTTTGTTGGTTTCGTCGCGGTTGAAAGGTGATTTTCACTTTCTATTTGTTCCCACAAAGTTCGCTTTTTATTAAATTATTGAAACATCCTTTTTTTTAACTAGAAATATAATTTTCTTGAAAACAAATCGCTTTCTTCTTGTGAAATTTCATTTTGGGGTCTGTGATGAAGTTATAGCTACTAGTTTCTGATCATTTGGTTAACAGAAAAAGCCGGTGAGGTTGTTGGGGTTTGCGAGATGATTCATTTTCACCAGCGAGAGTAAGCAAACCAAACTGATCAGAAATGACCATTGTGTTCTCCGATTTCAGCAAAAGAAACCAGAACTATTGGGGACAACTTATAAACTGTCGAAACTGTCGAAAAGAAATGTAAAGTTTTGTACATCATTGTTGAAAAAGTCGAGGTAGAGCGTAATAATAATAATAATAATAATAATGTGGGAAGTTTAGGAGCCAATAAACAGGTGAGGTCATCGCCGGTCCTCAGCGGGTTTTCTTCTTTTTCTGGTCTTTCACCCCTATTTTTCAACATGTAGCCATTTAAACTCGCGATCTGTTACTGGCTCTATGCTTTTTTAATAAAACTAAGTCGATATGATAAAATGCTATCCTCTCATTTATACTTGAGTTTGTCAACTACCGAACATACAGTACATAATATACATCACACAAACATAGAAGTTTGGTTCGCTCACCCCGAAGAATTCGATATACCTCGAGGTGGAGTCAAACCAACTCTTCTCGCTAATAAATTACTTTTACTGTCCAGACGTCACACACACCCCAAAATACTTGATATTCCTCGGGCGGGGATAAACAACTATTTCCTNACTCCTTTCTCGCTAATAAATTATTTTACTCTCCAGACGTCACACACACCCCAGAATACTTGATATTCCTCTAGGCGGGTGTAAACACCCCCTTCCTTTCACGATAATACATTACGTTCATTCCATTAAATTATCATAAATACAACACTAACACTATTTTTTTCTTTCTTTTTTTGACGAGTGTTCGCAACAGCAGAGATTATATCAACCCTCGGGGTGCCGGTGTTTTTGAAAAAAAAGCCCATTTGTAAGTATGTCGGGTTCGAATGCAAGGCCGCTGGATTCGAACCCGGGACCTTCCAGTGATGAGCGCCGTATCAACGTCTAAACTGTTGCGGCCACTAACGCCCCACTAACATTTACTATTGTACAATACACTAACATACTATTGTACAATTAAAAACCCCTAGAGCCCTTAGGCATTCGAACAACGCCATTAATAAATGCATATAAGATCTTCAAGTAATATTACCATTATTTCATTCATATTGATTGTATTCATAAAACAATTTAATTTAGTATACGAATAAATCTGATAGAAATTTGATTTGATTGTAAAAGTACGAAGTGCAAGAGGGTCGAAGTTAAAAGCACAACGTCTGGGAATTTTTATGTGCACAAGGCTTACTTTTATCCTTCGAGGGCGTGGGCAGTACATTATTCTGAAAACAATGTAGGACGTGAGCAGTATAACAGTCGATAATAAACCAAAGCCGGATTTTGATTATTGACAATGTTACACAATTTCGTCATGATTTTGTTTGCCCGTGTCACCGGCCGCAAACGTTCACAGCCGCCGAGTTTCACCGACCACTCATTGTCGATTCATAGGAATCTGTGTCATTACTTCTGCCCACTGGAATCACCTCCATGACCACCACTCTCTGGAAAAGGTGCCACGCCAACTCGTTCTTTTTCGCGAGTCTCTGTCCGACCGTCCCGACGCCAGCCTCGCAGGCAGACAATAACAGTACTTCTCGATCAATGACATCACATGCAATCCCTGGAGTATTTCTACAGTTTGTACGGAATCGAACCGTGTAAGGGGCACCTCGGTTGCATAATTTGCACATTGCGCAACAGCCTATCCTGCCGTTTTTTTTTATTCCGTTTTGGAGTCATTTGGAATAATTGACTTGTTATTTTTTTAGCATCGAGCTCCGACGAGGACAGCGTCGGCGGAGATGCACAAAGCACCCCCGAAAGAGAGAGGGTGAGAGCTCCTGCACCCCTCCCGCCGCACAGCGACACCAGCAGCACAGGATCCGCTAGAGAAACTCCTCCACAAATTCATAGGCATACGAGGTAAACTTTTTTTTATTAGTATTTTATTTTTTCTTATTTATCGGCCTTTTTTGAAAGTGGATAAAGAGATTTTCAAATCTACAATGTTTCCTGTCCATATTGGAAGTACATAGTTTATTTCTGGAAAATGGCTGCTGAAACATGTAGGTTCGAATTTTTTTCTAAATCTTTCAAAAATGGCCTTAAAAAAGAAAAAATGAACCATCAATAATATATATATATATATACACAGGGTGAATTGCTACTCGTGCTACAAACTTCTCCAGTAGATTCTTCACCCTAAAATGAACAAAAAAGTTCATATTGTCCATGGTCCGANTTTTGTTCAATTTGGATTGTAAAGAAATATTGCTCAATGTATCCCACCTAGTTGGACGGTGCAATTCCTTAGCTCCATATAGATAATTAAACATAATGTTGGCAAAAATTTTAGTGATGCAACGCTTAAAAAGCAGTAAAAAAATGATTAAAAGGAAATTGCGCAGCGTTGCTGGGCCAGATCGCAGAGGAGCTCTTGTGAATCAAGACCACTGCCAATAGGTGGCCCTTGGAGGATCTGTCTCCTAGAAGCTCATCCTCACCCGATTAAGGATAGGCCATGCGAGGCTGACACTCGGGCACTTAGTTTTCCATGTTGTCGAAGGTTGTGATTACTTGGCTCCATACATAGAGCCACCTGATATCAGAATTGTGCTTGAGTACGTCAGCAAGTCACCTGAACCGACTCTGGGACAAAACAGGGTTGTTTTACTGTATATAATAAGGATAGTCCCTAGTGTGTGTTGAGAGTTTATGTATTTATTAGCGTAAATGTGTAGAGGGTCAAAAGTGAATTATTTAGTACCCCTACAACCCTCAACTGCCTTAATTGAGCGAATGGTGTATGAAAGAATTTATTTGAGAATGTTGAATGGGTTTGGATGAAATGACCTAGTTGACAGCTCCTAGAGACCCACCTTGATAGCTGACAGATAATACCGATGCCTGACCCCGTACTGCCAACACCTTCTTCTTTCAGTAATTTATTGTAAATTACAAAAGCCGGAATTGCCGGTGGACTATGAGAAGTGATTAGCTCAAATCTGTACATGTGATTGTATTTATTTGCGTGAATATTAGTTTGTGGTTCCATTCTAAATGAGCTTTTGATAACCAAGATCTTTCCCTGGACTTAGTTCTTACAGTTTTTAATTAAAATAAAACCAATTTATTGATATATATATAGGCTTTAATCTGCATGTCAGACCTCAGTCTTATCCATCCAGTCGTCATCACTGTCACTGCTGTCATTTCAACACCCAACGTAATCAGTTCCCTAATTACTCTCAAATACTTTCTTTCTTAATTGCACTCAGTTAGGGTGGTCGAGTACTCGATATTCTTACATTGTATACCTATAAATCTAACCTAATTGAGTGTCAATGGGGGTACTCAGGATCCACCATCAAACCTCTCACAATACACATTCGTGTTAATAAATACATTCACTCTCAGTGCACGCTCAGTATCTAAATATGTATAATAATAAAACAGCCCTGTTTCCTTCAAAAATCGATGCAGGGGACCAAGATACTAGCTCAAGCATTCACATTTAATCTCTCAATAAATTTAACCCAAGAAAAATTATTATAGAATATGCATATTACACCACTGTTTCTTTCTAAATTTTGGACATTTGACTCATAGACTCATTGCCATAATCAATAGCACGCTTCATTCATTCCTACTTGCTTTCTATAAGGAGCCAAGTAATGACACCCATTAATTACGTGGGAGACATTGAGCAATCTTTCTCAAAATGTGTGGTGATTAGTGACCGTTAATCGATAATTATTCAGAAATCGTGAGATGCAGTCTGGTGTGATGTAGGTTTCAGAAAAACATTTTCTTTATCGTGCCGACGTTTCGATCTTTATTGAGCCCTGAAGATGATCTCAATAAAGATCGAAACGTCGGCACGATAAAGAAAATGTTTTTCTGAAACCTACATCACACCGGACCGCATCTCACGATTTCTGAATAATTAATTTCTCAAAATGTCGGTCACATAATCCAACTTTTTGGCCCAATTTCTTTTTATTTATTATTATTATTATAAAACATGTTTATAATGCTGTAAAAAAAAAAAAAAAAAACATTTTAATTTTTTTAATCTTTTCCAGACTACCAAACGGTGGCTCCGGTCAGACTGTTTGGGAAGATCGAAATGACCACAGAGAAGAGAGGAGCAGGGAGAAGCACAGAGAGAGAGACAGGCACAAACAAGAAATAACAGACTTGGCTGATGTCATGCACAATCTCAGGCCTTGTAATATTTATTTTCAATTATTCTTATATTTTGCCTAGCGTAAAAAAGTTGTACCGAGGTATCCATCTCGCTCAGTATGAGGCTCAGATGACCCTGTTTATTGGAAAAATGACAATCCCTCATTTGTCTACACCTAGTCCCAGGGTATCATTTATCGTCCAGTGTCCATTGCAAAAACAAAATTCCTTTTTCTCCTTTTTTTTTAATTTTATATTTTTTATTATTCTGAAAATATTTTGTTACTGTTGGTATAAGTTTGTCTGTTCATTGTTATAAATAAAAAAAAAATAGTTATAGGTAAGAAATTTTTGTGTTTAATTTATTATATCGTTTCAGATTCCCAACCTCCAGATGTCACTCACAATACTGGTCAAGCTCGAAGAATAACGCCAGCTGATCGAGTTAATAGATACAATAGATCGAGGCAATCCTCAGATGACGGAATGGGTGAGTTTAATATTATTTCCTTCAAATTATAACAGTGTAAGTTCAACCGTTCTCTTTCAAAATTACCATAATTCAATTTCTTTATCAGGCACTGTAACTGGTACAGGGAGGTGGAAAGTTTCGGCTAAAATCCAACAGCTTCTAAATACCCTAAAACGTCCTAAAAGAAGACCTCTTCCTGAGTTCTATGAAGATGATGACATAGAACTGGAAATCGCTGCAAATCCTAAGGATCCGAACGCACCGAAACCAGAGGGAGCGACCATGACACCTGCAATCGGAGATCAGCTTGTGGTAAGTTTATTATTTTTTTGATCATGCTGATGTAAGCCGGTCTTCGTCTTAGAATAAGTTGTAGTGTAGTTATTAAAGTAAGAACAATAAAAATTTAGTTTAAACGGCTACACAAAAATGGCTATAAATTGGAAGGGGCGATCACCCAGAACAACGTGACATCCATCAACCAACCAGGGAAACCTAGCCCTGCAATTATGAACAGTTCAAACAGGTCAAATAAATAAGAACGTTGAAGGATCTCGCACACCCAGACGGTGTTTTTCACAAACCTCAAAATATTAAGTTGCAACAGTTGGACAACGGATCAAATAAACAACTAACATAGAGTTATTGAGTACTGAAGGGTTGTCACAATGCCAAAAATATTTAGCGGCGTGGGATATCATAAAATGGGGTCACATGAACCATGTGCTTGACAACCATCTTCTGCAGTCCACCCCAGTATTGGAACTACCCTGAATTTTGATTTTCCTTTCTATCCCTTCTCCGGTAAAGAAACTGGTATATTAAAAGCAATGATTTGGAAATCAAAAGTCAGTCAAAACCAAGGTCTCATGCCAGGAAGTGAACAGTCGATCTGGACAAAAAAGCAGCCAAACTCGGTCCGACTCAACAAGGGGGCTTAGCAGGGCAGGGCTAGCCGTTGGGACCCATTGGATCAAGTCAATGGTTGAGATAGCAGAAAGGCGCTGGGGTCGTGACGAGTTTGGCATAAGTCCCTTTGTTAATAGATTCTCCCAGATTTAGGTAGGCCGTCCACTAGAGCCGTTTTCGTCCGAACTTGCTCGGCCAAATAGGGCCGGATGATCCAAAAGCGAAGAAACGAATGAGCACGCGTCCATTAGAACCAATTCGTTCGGTCGTGTAGGGCCGAAGCACTTTCTGATCCAAATAAAGTTGGATTTTCCAGTCTTATTCGGCCGAATGGTTACTTCGACTTCAACTGTCAACCACGTGACATCAAACACTCACCACTGTTTAACGCCATTCTTTGCTTTTTGCTTACCTTTTCGTTTCATTTTCATTTCGATGGATTGCGAAAAATTGATAAGTGCGGTTGAGGAGCAGGCTCTTGGGACATGCGTGATCCACTCTAACATTGGAGAGATGTCCAGCATAAGCTGTGGTCAAGGATAGCTTTAGAAATGGAACTTCCAATAGTTTTGTTTATTAATTTACTACTTTCGTGGGGTCCGCTTGACCAATTAATACATGACAATTAATTAAGGTTTTTAGTTGAGATGAAAAAAAAGTTAATGGCACGAGAGGGATTCGAACCGAAGGTCATGGGTTCGAATCCCTCTCGTGCCATTAACTTTTTTTCATCTCAACTAAAAACCTTAATTAATTGTCATTTTTGTTTATTTCTTTCATTCCATTTGTAAATAAGAATTTTCGAGCAGCAACAAATCTTCTACATCCATTTGGGCTGTGTCGTGAACTGACGAAAATCGGCTACAGTGGACGATGGCGTTCAGTCGTCTGTTTGGTCAAATAGTTCAGCTGTTGAACGGCCGTCGTAGTTTGGTTCCAATGGACGAGCAGCCTTAGAGTTGTTGCTTACTTGTCAGCTTAATTTAAGATTTCATTGTGGTATTGTACATATCAAAGACGGAATTGTGTTCAAATTAATGAAGGGCACAGTGAAAAAACGACGAGGGGTCCATTTTTTGTCAGAATCGGGATTTCACCGGCATCTGTTGGCTAGTGAGATTAACTATTATCCCGCCAAATGTTGCTAGGGAAATCCAATTATATTCCACTAAAAATTGCGTTTGAAAATGGGCAGCACAGTGGAAGAACAATCCTGGGCGCCTAAGAACGATGAGGATCCATCTCTATGGCATTTAAAAATTCTTCCACAAGCAATCAGCACGATTATAATTTATTGTGACTCATATGCAGGGCAAAATAAAAATTATACAATTCTGCGATTCCTTCACCATCTCGCAACAGAAAAAAAGGGAGAATATATTGTGTAAAAGTTTTCTTTCCCATCCGTGGCCATAACTATTTGGAGTGCGATAATGATACGAGCATGATTAATCAAAAATCCTACGTAGATATGACTCAAGGATGGAGGATGTGATTGCTCCGAGCAGTTGCAAACCATAACCGTTCACTGTATCAATTGTAAAAGGGAATTTTTCAAATCGTGGACGGATTACTTAGTACCGATGTACAAACCGAAATGTCCCGTCCCCGCAAGAACGTTTCAACGTTTGAAGATATCTCTTACACACCACAGTATATACACCACCGCACTTCATTCTGTGGACCTTATTATAAGCACGTGTTGTTGGTGCCACAAAGGCAAAAAAAGGAGAAGAACCTCGAACCAAAACAGCAGAATTATGTTTATATTGATTATGAGGTAGATGAGTAACTTAAAACTTTTTAGCTTTTTTCAGTTTTGTTTTTGTAACAATTAATCTAAAATTTTGACCATAGATGTTCAGAATTTTTGTTGCACTTGTCTGATCATTTTTGAAATTAATAATAAATTTTTGTAATCATGGTATTTTCTTATTCGTTGCTTGGTTCGAAATGTGGGTTAAATGGTTTTTGAATCATGAGAATTACTCAGAAAGAACTCTAAATGTTATTACAATTACAATTAATTAAGGTTTTCAGTTGAGATAAAAAAAGTCAATGGCACGAGCGGGATTCGAACCCACGATCTTCGCCTAGATACGCCGCTGGTCTACTACTTGAGCTGTCGTGACCTTGATCCACTCGGACACTAACTTCCCATCTCAACCCCACTTTTTGAATTTTCCCTCCTTTTTGCCATTTTTCAAATGTCGTGTAATCTACTTGATTCTCGGCGACAAATGTAATGGCCACGGAGAGCTTTAGTGAAGTGTACTTAATTTTAAATCATTAAATTCACTAATTTCGTGGTCCGCTTGACCAATTAATATATTACAATTAATTAAGGTTTAATTCTGAGGAATTCGATCCCATTCATTTGGACTGTTACAGCCTGGAATTCGCCGTCGTACTCATTGTTTAATTTGGTCCGAAATGTGTTTGATTGGGCTCAAAAATGGACATGGCCATACCAAACGCTCAATTCCTGCCATTATCCTTCGTTAACGAAAATCATTCAAAAATGGCGAACGGCTGTGAAATTATTGATCTTCCTCGCACAACCACCATGAACCATTTATAAATTAGATAAATTTTCGAACTTACAAATCAACCTTTTTAATTTAAAATTAACGGTTGTTTCTCATCAAATTATCTTTTTTTAACAATCTTTCGCTCTTTATTTCAAATTATAACCGCAGCTTAATTAACTGATAATAATTAATTGATTTATTAAGGTGAATTTGGAATTAAAAGGGATTAATTGAAGGGTAAAAATGGGTAAGTTGGTGTTAAAATGGGTTAATTTCAAATTAAAAAAAGGTTAATTTTAAGATAAATAGGGAAGTTCGGTTTTGGACAAATTTGTTCATATAGTAATAAAAATGTTAATAATTTGTTTTATTGTTGGAATCCAACTATCCACGACGTGCCTGAGACGATACTACATGAAACCATAATAGTTTAGAAAACTCTGACCAGCCGGATCATCCATTTTGAGGATTTCCGAAGTTTTTTTGGGGAACCAACTTGGGGTTGAGATGGGAAGTTAGTGTCCGAGTGGATCGAGGTCACGATAGCTCAAGTGGTAGAGCAGCGGCGTATCTAGCCGAAGATCGTGGGTTCGAATTTAACGTTTCTTGCATCAATGNAGTGGATCGAGGTCACGATAGCTCAAGTGGTAGAGCAGCGGCGTATCTAGCCGAAGATCGTGGGTTCGAATCCCGCTCGTGCCATTGACATTTTTTATCTCAACTAAAAACCTTAATTAATTGTAAGATATTAATTGGTCAAACGGACCACAAACTAGTGAATTTAATAAGTTATTACAATTATTGAATCAAACATGAAAAAAGAAACTATTTCACTGGCAGTCATGAAAGTTTAAATTTAGTGTTTGTCAAATGTTGAAAAAATGGAACCTCATCATTTTTCCACTGGACCGTTCAAATATGTTAAAGAATTACTCTCTGGTTTATCAAATTCTGGAACTTTACACTTATGCCGACTACTCACTTATTGCTTAAAGAAAAGCGAGGGAATATAGAGATTATTCGGCCATCACGAAGTTTGCCCGGTTACACTAATAATTATTTTTTGTAGGTGCCTTCTGGACTTCCAAGGAACCTAGAAGCTGCAATTCAAAGATACGGTTTATCTACTTACAAAGCACCAGTCGCTACGGTTTTAGATCCAAACGGAAAACTTAGCATTACTCTCACTTACGGTACTTATTTGTCATTTTCTAGTAGAATTTGTAATGAAATAAACATACAAATAATAAATATTAATTTTAGGAAAACTGCTCAGCCGATCGCAAAAGATTGCCTACACGCTTTTGACTAAAAATTTCAGTAAAGGAAGTGATACTTGCTCTTTGAAATGTGGTGACAGGATAGCACTAGTCTACCCAAATAATGACCCCATAAATTTTATGTGTGCCTTCTATGGGTGTATGTTTGCCGGAATCGTTCCTGTCCCTATTGAAGTGCCGCTTACCAGACGTGTAAGTAAATTCATTTAATTTAACAGTAGAAAAAAATATTGTAAATTTAAATTATCCTTGTCGATAGGATGCGGGATCACAGCAAATAGGCTTTCTTCTCGGCTCGTGCGGCGTTCAAGTGGCTCTTACGAGCGAGGCATGCCTTAAAGGAATACCGAAAACTGCAGCTGGCGAAGTAGTGGCGTTTAAGGGTTGGCCGAAACTTCACTGGTTTGTAACAGAACACTTGGCTAAAACACCAAAAGACTGGACACCGACACCGAGGCTGACTGATGATAATCCAGCTTATATAGAGGTAAATTTGACTTAAATTTAAAATTAAATTGTGATTTCAATCGAATTTTGAAAATTACAGTACAGTACTGACCGCGACGGCTCTGTAATGGGTGTCACAGTCGCAAGAGCAGCGATGCTATCACACTGCCGAATGCTCACCATGTCCTGTAATTACACAGAAGGTGAAAACATGGTTTGTGTGCTCGATTTCAAAAGAGAAACCGGTCTCTGGCACAGCATACTCACAAGCGTTCTCAACGGGATGCATGTTGTTTTCATACCTTATGCTTTAATGAAAGTCAATCCGGCATCGTGGATGCAGATGATTACAAAATATCGAGGTAATACATTGAACAATTGAAAATCGATGTAATTTATAATCAATTGGCAAATTTTTCAGCGAGTGTTGCTGTCGTTAAATCGAGAGATTTACACTGGGGTCTTTTAGCAACAAAAGACCATAAAGACATCAGTCTTTCTTCACTGAGATTGTTACTCGTCGGCGATGGTGCTAACCCATGGTCTTTGTCATCCTGTGATCAATTCCTGACTGTTTTTCAATCAAAAGGACTCAGAACGGATGCAGTATGTCCTTCGGCATCATCCACTGAGTGTTTAACTGTTTCCATTAGAAGGTAATTGTTTTGTTATATTTTTATGTATAATTGTACGTTTGTTATTAATGTTGATGTTATAATAGACCTGGGCGTGCTGGAGTGAATGCAACAGGACGAGGAGTTCTGTCGATGTCAGGCTTGAGCTACGGAGTCGTCAGAGTGGACCAGGAAAATTCACTGACGTCCTTAACACTCCAAGACTGCGGCCAAGTTATGCCAGGATGTAAGTGGTTTCGTTTTCCCGTAAGTTTTCAAAATTAACCGTATTGGATTTTTCCAGCGTGCATCGTCGTGGTCAAAATGGAAGGGACGTCGTATCTTTGTAAGACTGACGAAGTCGGTGAAATCTGCGTGAATTCACCTGCGACGGGAAGCCAGTACTGGGGTCTCACTGGCGTCAGCAACAACACCTTCAGAGTTTCACCTCTGCTTCCGGACGGCTCTGCTCTCTCTGACGCTGAGTACGTCCGCAGCGGGTTGTTAGGTTTTCTCGGCCCGGTAAGCCAAGTCCCTTCAGAATTTATTGAAATTTACAACAGAACAGTTTAGAAACTTAACTTTTTAGGGTGGACTTGTCTTCGTATGTGGCTCAAGGGACGGTCTCATGACTGTAACCGGAAGAAAGCACAACGCAGACGACATCATCGCTACAGTACTTGCAGTCGAACCTATGAAATTTATTTATAGAGGTCGCATTGCCGTCTTTAGCATGCGAGTCCTGAGGGATGAAAGAATCTGCGTTATTGCCGAACAAAGACCAGATTGTAGTGAAGAAGAGGTGAGAAAATAAATTATAAAAAAAATTAAGATTTCATTTTATACTATATTTTAAAGATTAAAAGCCATGACAAATAGGAAAAAATTAATTTTATGTATTTATTTTCCCTAGAGCTTTCAGTGGATGTCGAGGGTCCTTCAGGCTGTTGATTCCATTCATCAAGTCGGACTGTATTGCCTAGCGTTAGTTCCGCCCAACTATTTACCCAAGACTCCGTTGGGAGGGATCCACTTGTCGGAGTCGAAAAGGAGATTTTTAGAAGGAACTCTGCACCCGGCTAACGTTCTTCTTTGTCCGCACACGTGCGTCACCAACTTGCCAAAGCCCAGGGAGGTCCACCTAGGTCAGTGAAATGGAGAAAATACTTTGCACTTTTAATTTAACAACTGTTTTAGTCTTGTGTAGCGAGTTAGCACCTTTTTCTCTTACTTTGCTAAGTACCCTAATCATCACAGTCACTCATTGAATTCATCTAACCCAACCCTATCACACTTTTGTTTTGTAGACTGTATTAAAAAAAAAAAAAAAAAAAAAATCCTAGGCAATTATGTGGCAAATGATTGAGGCTATTTGTTTTGCAGATGAATACTTTAAAACCGCCCAATATGTTAACCAAATTGGTGAAGATCAAGGTAACGAAAAATCTTACTTCTTATATGTCCTGACCAAATTCATGTCTTTAAGAGACTTTTCTTTTTTTTTTGTTTTGAGTGTGAGCTTTGAATGCCCGAAATTTAAAGAAAAAATTAATATGATTTGTCCAATGTACGAAATGCTCTGCTTTTTAGATTCTAGAGTTGTTCTTTATTTTGCACAGTCGGCGATTTTAGGGAAAGACAATAGTCTCCATATTTGAGTAGATTTTCTTCATGGCGATAAGAGACACTAGAAAAGTTATTTTTTGTCTTGCATACTTTCGATTGTTCAAGATTGATTTCATAAATAAGCATTTAATTTTAAAGATTACCAGGTAACCAGAAAAGTTTGTGAGGGTTTAAAGGGTCGTCGATATCTTTAACCTTCTCTCGAGTTACTAGTTTATGCCATTCTTATAAAAATTTGGATAAGTCGATGTAAGCAGAGTAAGCTCTTGATACGCTTGATTGAATCAAGTTCAATAACTTACCTCAATTAGTCTACCAGACAGTGGTTCATCTTCAATCTCTCATTTCAGGAAGCAATCGTTTCAAACCGTTTTTGGCACAGTGCAATCATTCTTTGTTTAGCTGCCTCAGCCACACGAGTACCAAGCCAAAATTCTAAACTTTTACACTTGAAGCTGTAAAAAAGAAAATATTTTATAATTTACGATTATTCGGAGATCGTGAGTTGTGGTCTGGTGTGACATAGGTTTCAGAAAAACATTTTCTTTATCGTGCCAACGTTTCGATCTTTATTGGCATCGTCTTCAGGGCTGGGATTTATAAACATTGTTCAAATTTTACAAATACATGTGAATGGATGTGAAATAAAAAATTAATTTGTACAATGCTAGAAAATTTTTGATTATAAAAAATTAATTTATACAATGCTAGAAAATTTTAGATGAAAAAATATAATTTATACAATGCTAGAAATTTTAGATTAAAAAGAATTAATTTATACAATGCTAGAAAATTTTAGATTAACAAACATGAATTTAAACAATGCTAGAAAATTTTAAATTAAAAAGAATTAATTTATACAATGCTAGAAAATTTTAAATTAAAAAAATTAATTTATACAATGCTAGAAAATTTTAGATTAAAAAGAATAAATCTATACAATGCTAGAAAATTTTAAATTAAAAAAAAAATGAATTTATACAATGCTAGGAAATTTTTGATTAAAAAATGAATTTATACAATGCTTGAAAATTTTAGAGTAAAAAGAATAAATCTATACAATGCTAGAAAATTTTTGATAAAAAAAATTAATTTATACAATGCTAGAAAATTTTAGATACATTCTCAGCTCCTAGTGTACTGTAGTGCGTTGGATTCTCACTATCACCTGGCCTTTTTTTCACAACCCCCTTCTCCCCCCCCAAAAAAAATGCATATGCATCTTTACTCAATATGCAAGCTCTTAAGGCCATAAAAAAGTACATAAATAAAAACGTCGATTAATGGTATTTAATATAAAAGTTAGAAAAAAGAAATGCACAAACTTTTCTCGTTACCTAGTATTAATATTTAAAATTTTGAGTGTCTATTGTAAATACCTGTAAATATTGGTAAAATTAGATTGTTTGATTTTGGGCAGGACTTGTTTTTAACAAAATTATAAACCCCCCACAAAAACAAAAAAAAAATAGAGTTTCTCAAGTTAACCACTACTTAAGTCTACTGTTAACATTAACATGGACTTTTTGTTTTCTCAATCTGCCTAGCTGTTTAGGAGATGCACAGTCATACGGTTGGATGTGGTTAATTGTAGAAATTCTGAAACTTGCTGCTTTTTTACTTTATAAACGATTAGATAATTCAATTTAAAAAGCTTCTAGGATAAACAAGTAGTAGATAAACGCAATCATTTTCCCATAATGTTAATTTTTCAATAGGTGCCTACTGTTTAATCTTTTTTTTTTGTATTTTTCTTTTTGTTAGCTACACTAAACCTCCTTGCATTCATTTAACATATGCACTGATTATCCATAAAGTTTTACACTAAATGTTGAATTATAGGGCACGGGCATTGGCGTCCAATAAGTTTTTTTGTGGCTAAATGGCTCTTATTTTATCTTTTTCTTTTTTATGTTTTATGGTAAATTAAATTTTTGAAAATCCTGGCGCTATTTGGTCTTGAAAACATTTCCCCTCAAGGAGCAATTTTTACAATCTGCTTAACTGAGGTGATGTTGAATATTACAGACTACTTTATTTGTTTACTATTAAAATTATGTTTACTCAGGATTGCAATGTTTTTTTCTTTGTTACGAAGGCAGAACATTTTTATAAATTGGCATTTGCGAAAATTTGGAGAGATCATATAATTTTGTTTTTTTAGGGTAGAAACAAAATAGATTGTGGGAATTTCTTCTGAATGTTCTCTTAGCATGCTAATTTTTAAAAGTAGACGAGTTGTAATTATTGAGGAGGAAATGTTAACCGATTCTTTAAAAACGAACCAACGTCAGCCCTTGCCCCGTACAAAAACTCGTATGAAGTACCAAACAAAAAAAAAATGTTTACTGCATCTTTTCTTTTATGTATATCTAACTTTTCTTGTGTCTCTATTTTGTCTAATGACTAAACCAAATCTCTATTATTATTGTGTATTTAAACTAACATTGTGGGACCGGCGGGAGGGAGAATTCGTGGGACAACTTTTATTTCTCTCATGAAATGGTAATTCAATTAAGATTATTTTTTTATCTAGGCTAAGTTAGATGTTTTATTATTTAAATAAAAACAAATTTTAGGCACTCTAGCCATACTTGCCAATTTTATTAACAAAAATATTTTAAATGAACGAAAAAAAGTTAAAACTGTAAAGAATAAATATGCCTTGATCATTATTTTTCTTCATTTTTTTTTATATTATTATTTTTCAATTCTATTCCAATTGAATTTTAACAAAACCTCAAAAAGATAATTTATGAGCTTTCGCTTGTCTTCAGCATCGTTTTGTCACTTTTCTTTCAAAAGCCCAATTGTTTTTAATTTTAAATAAAAAATAAATAATTGGCACACAATATTAATATCATCTTCACTCGAACTTTCAAAACAAGACTTCACAATCCACCGCTTTAATGGCTTGCTTGCAATGCTGAATAATTTCTCGTCAAAAAAGAAAGTTGTAAATAACACTTAATTTTTAAGATTGAGAGAATAAATTATATTTTTGAGGATTCAGACTTTATATGATCTTTATATTCTTTTATTAATTACATTGTAGTCCATGACATAGTTAAATTAACCCTTCCTGCTTGCAGTACCATTGGCAAAAACCCAAATACTTTTTTGAAGTTTTTGAACGGACAAAAATCAATCGATTGTAGTTTTTTTACAACTTTTTTGTTTTTAATTCAAATCGTAGAAGTTTTGTGTTGAAAAATGTGAAAATAAGGAAATCAGGGAACATTTTTGTATTTGTTTCAGATGTAGGTCCTGCCTCAGTAATGGTAGGAAACATAGTACAAGGAAACCGTCTCGCTTCCGCCATGGGAAGAGATATGGGAATGGTCGATGAAGAATCAGACACAGCAAGAAAGGTAAAGATTTATAACGAATAGTTTAAATTTAAAAAACTGTTTAGGCTTTGAGTTCGTTTTGCTTTGAAATTGACACGCTACAACATTTCAGTACCAGTTCATATCGGAGATATTGCGTTGGCGTGCGATCTCGACAGCCGAGCACGTTATTTTTACACTGCTCAACTCTAAAGGAGGTGTAGCGGGCGTCATGACGTGTCAACAATTGCACAAAAGAGCCGAAAGGGTCGGCTCGCTTCTTCTGGAAAGGGCGAAAATCAACACGGGTGACCATGTCGCACTCATCTTCCCGCCTGGGATCGATCTCATTTGTGCATTCTACGGTTGCCTTTATGTTGGTGAGTGAAAGTTTTTTTTTTCTTTCCTGATTTTTTTTTTTGTATTTTTTAAAATTTTAAATTTTCAGGTGCTGTCCCTGTTACTATTAGGCCCCCTCACCCGCAAAATCTACAAACTACTCTACCCACAGTGAGAATGATTGTAGACGTTAGCAAATCGGTTCTAGTCTTGTCTAACCAGAATGTTATTAAACTTCTTCGCTCTAAGGTAGAGGCCATCTTTCTATTTATATATTTGACTTTATTTATAATAAATTCTTTTATGAATTTAGGAGGCGAGTAATGTTATTGACATTAAATCTTGGCCTGTGATCCTCGACACTGACGATATGCCTAAGAAAAAATTAACGGCGATGTACAGGGCGCCGACTGCTGAAATGCTCGCATACCTTGACTTCAGGTAAATTTAAGATAAGAAATATTGCAAATTTATCGTGAAATTAGTAATTTTGAGCCAGTTTCTCTCCCGGGCCAAACTGATGTTTCTCAAGGATCCAATGGTTTATCCTTATGACAAAAACCTAGGATTCGTCCTTGATCAAACCCTAACCTGGAATTCTCACATTGCCCAAATCTCCTGCCGTTACTTCTCCTTCCTTCGCCAATTCCGTCCTGCTAGACTCTTCCAATTGGAACTAGCTTCTCCTGGTCTGCACACCTTGTGCTTTTCCATTTTGATTGAGGGTGTTGTGGGCTAATCAGCGAGCCTGTTAAAAAATTCAAGAGAATCATGAATAGAAATGATGAATTGTGGTACTGCTTTCTTCAGTTCATATTAACCTCCTCAAAGAGATCTCGTGTCTATGGATCGCTCCTAGCATGGGCTATACTTCATTGGCTCTTTCCCATATTTATAATCGGTTTAAATTAAAAAAAGAAGAGAAAGGTATTTTAATAATCTCTTGGGATAACACACTGGCCAATGAATCTAACAAAAAAATATTGGCAAAAGAAAAAAACCTCCACTGATTACCACGAGTTTTACCTCTGTGTCAAAATTTCAGAAAAAATCGAACAAAGAGATACCCGTCCAATATTCTCTACAGAACTAAAAATAATTAGAAACCCCCTTAATTGCTTATACTAAAAGACTACTCCAGACAAAATCCTGTAGTGGTTAATTAACAAGTAACTTACATCAAGTACAAGTACTAACATCAAAAATTATATCGTAGCTGACATAAAAAAAGTCTGTTAACAATTTTTCCACTTTAAAAAAAAAAAGGTCTCTTTCGTGTGGATTAAAGGACATATGGTATATACGGCAATGAAAAATCTGACAAACTTGCAAAAAATGCCACACAGTTACCCACCCCTAGAATCATAAAGATCCCTTATACAGACATTTTTAAAATATCGGAAATAAGAATTCAAATAGAATGGCAAATTGAATATTCTGCCTCGGATAAGGGAATGGCCTATACAACATTATTTCCACTTGTGAAAATAAAACTGTGGTTTAACAAACTAGACACGGGAAAAAAAAGACATACCATACATCGGTTAAGAACAAACCATGACATCTGCGCATAAATCTTGTGAACGCATAAAAAAACAACACCCAATTTGGACACATGCGGAGTAAAGGAGGACCTACTGCACATAATGTTTCACTGCAGCCAATATTCATCGGCCAGAAATAAATTCTACCAGGATCTGGAGAAATAAGGAGTAGAACACCCAATTATGGAAAATAGAGCTCTATTCAAGAATCCCAGTGTGTATAACTAGATAATAAAATTTTTAAAAGATGTGTCTGTGAAAAAATATAATTTGAACTACAATTAATTAAGGTTTTTAGTTGAGATAAAAAAGTCAATGGGAGGAGCGGGATTCGAACACACAATCTTCGGCTAGATACGCCGCTGCTCTACCACTTGATCTGTTGTGTCTTCTATCCACTTGGACACTAACTTCCCATCTCAATCCCAACTTTTTGAATTTTCCCTCCTTTTTGCCATTTTTCAAAAAGATTTCAAAATTCAAAAAGGTTGGGTTGAGATGGGAAGTTAGTGTCCGAGTGGATCGAGGTCACGATAGCTCAAGTGGTAGAGCAGCGACGTATCTAGCCGAATTTAAATTTAATTTTATTTTAACATGGTGGTGATTAGTGACCGTTAATCGATGATCATTTGGAAATCATGAAATGTGGTCTGGTGTGATGTAGGTTTCAGAAAAACATTTTCTTTATCGTGCCAACATTTCGATCTTTATTGAGATCATCTCCAGGGCCTGGGATTTACAAACATTGTTTAAATTTAACAAATACATGTAGGATGTGGAAAAAAGTGAGTTTATACAATGCAAAAAAAATATTTTTTATATTCAATCAAAGTATTTCTACTCATTCAATGTGTTTGTTTTCTGCGTAAACACCTACATCACATCAGACCGCATCTCACGATTTCATTTTAACTTTTTTTAAATCAAATTAGCCCCTTTTAATTTCATATCAAATGTTTCTTTAAAACAATAAAAAAAACATAGACTGTGTGAAATGTAAGGTCGTAACGTAAAATTTCTGAAAAAAAAAATCGTACTCTTAAGAAATCATACGAAAATTAATTAAAATTAAGCATTATATAAAGTGAAATATCTATGAAAATAAAGGTTTATTCTTTTAATTCCACATATGTTTCAGTTTGGTTAAAGACATTTTTTAAACATTAGATTAAAAAACCGTTATGTTAAAATTTACACAATTTTCAGTTTTATTTATTTTTTTTAACATGAATTATGTACATATTTCAAAATATCACACCATGCTATTAACAAAAGTAAGTTAAAAACAATTAGATAGAACATAAATTCACTAATTTCACCAATTAATATATTACAATTAATTAAGGTTTTTAGTTGAGATAAAAAAGTCAATGGCACGAGCGGGATTCGAACCCACGACCTTCGGCTAGATACGCCGCTGCTCTACCACTTGAACTATCGTGACCTCGATCCACCCGGACACCAACTTCCTATCTCAACCCCCTCAGCGTATTTAGCGGAAGATCGTGGGTTCGAATCCCGCTCGTGCCATTGACTTTTTTATCTCAACTAAAAACCTCAATTAATTGTAATATATTAATTTGTCAAGCTGACCACGAAATTAGTGAATTTAATAATTTGAACTGTTTAAAAAATATTCTTTGTAACATGGCTGATAACATTAAAAAAAACACGCCATACGTGTTCTTGCTCTGCTTATTTCTACCCATGCCATACAAATACATCGCTTTTAGTTCCTCCCTTCTTTAATCGTTCCTACAACCTCTGGAACCTTCCTCACCCCATTCGCCATGCCTCAACGTCTGTATTTTTAATTTCTTATCTGTTCAATTCAACACTGAAGATTGTTAATTTTCTGTTTCGGCCGTTTCATTTCTTCTCTTCTGATTTACCTTATTAAATTTAGATCTTTATTTATATATACCTTTTGACAGAAATTTTCCTAATGTTTGTATGTTTTTGTTATTCGAGGGAACCCAAAGCCCCGGAATATTTTTTTTAATATTTATTTTATTTTATTTATTGCTATCTGTACAAAATATACATTGGGCAAATAGTTTAGTTATAAACAAATTTGTCAGACCAGGAGGCAGCGGGGTGAAAAACCAATCACTGGTTGGAACTCTCTTTTATTTAATTGGGTGGGTTAAATAGGTCACGAGGAAAGAGTTAGGGCTAGCAGGTAACGGTGGAGGGATAGTTTAGATTGGAAATTGAAAAAGTGTGTTCGGATGAGATCTTTCATGAAAGGGATTTTATGATTTTTATGGATCGTTGATGACATAGAAAGAATTAAAGATATGGAGGAGAACTTTATATTGAATTTGTTGATATTGGATAAGTTGGTTTCAGTTCAACACACGCAGAATAAATTTAAATTAATTTTCTTCTAATTGAATTCAATTATTTCTTGTTTAGTGTAAGCACAACGGGGATGTTGGCTGGAATTAAGATGTCACACGCAGCAGTCACTTCTCTCTGTAGATCGATGAAGCTTGCTTGTGAACTCTATCCTTCACGACACATCGCCCTCTGCCTTGATCCATATTGTGGTCTTGGATTCGCTCTGTGGTGTTTAAGCAGGTAAGAAAATTATTAGATTTCTTTTGCTTGGTAATTGGGTCAGTCCATCCTGGTCTGCCTTTCCTAGCAATTTTGATTTCACATTTTTACATGTTGTCACTTTCAGTGGAACATAATTGGTAGATTGAAACGGTGGAGATGTGAAAATCTTGCTCTTTTTATATTATTATTATAATTCACCACATTGAATTTCAGCGTTTATTCCGGACATCATACTATCTTGATTCCTCCGTCTGAAGTGGAAGTAAACCCCGCCTTGTGGCTTTCGGCAGTGAGCCAGTACAGAGTGCGAGATACGTTCTGCTCTTACGGCGTAATGGAGCTGTGTACGAAGGGACTCGGTTCGTCAGTCAACACTCTTAAAGCACGCGGCGTTTCCTTGGCGTGTGTGAGGACATGCGTGGTCGTCGCTGAAGAAAGGCCGAGGATCAATCTGACTTCGAGTTTCTCGAAATTGTTCTCCGCCCTCGGCCTCAGCCCAAGGGCCGTTTCGACAAGCTTCGGTTGTAGAGTCAATGTCGCTATTTGTTTACAGGTAATTACGTTTAAAATTTACCTTTAGATTTTTTATTTAACCTGACTGTTTAGGGAGCGTCTAGCCCTGAGCCGTCGTCTGTTTTCGTCGACCTTCGAGCTTTGAGGAACGATAGAGTTACTCTTGTCGAAAGAGGTTCTCCACACTCGTTATGCCTTCTTGAATCCGGTAAACTTCTCCCAGGAGTTAAAGTCATAATAGCAAACCCCGAAACCAAAGGACAGTGTGGGGATTCACATCTTGGAGAAGTAAGTTTTAAAATAAATTTAACTTTTTTTTTTAAATAATAATTTGATCAATTTTAGATATGGGTTCAATCTCCACACAACGCCAGTGGTTATTTTTCAATTTATGGCGATGAAAGTGAATACAATGAGCATTTTAACGCTCGATTGGTTACCGGTAATACAGGGGAAGTTTACGCTCGCACCGGTTACCTCGGATTCTTAAGAAGGACGGAAAACCTCAACACCACTTCTGCAAACGCTCCGATATTGAGTGAAGTCACCGACCTCACTTCTCTTCACGATCTCTCCGCTTTGAACCGCAATCCCGTTGTTGACACATCAGGTATGTTTAAGCATTAATTAGATTGATTTAATCTGACTTTTTTATTTTATTTATTTTTTTATTTAGAACTTCATGATGCAGTTTTTGTCGTCGGAGCACTCGATGAGACAATCATGCTCCGTGGTATGCGATATCATCCAATAGATATTGAAAATAGTGTGATGAGGTGCCATAAAAAAATAGCCGAATGGTAAGTAATTATTTTAAGAATA